AATAGGCTTAAGTGAAATCTTAGAATTGTTGGTATAGCATAACCTCACTAAAGAATTATAACAAATCGTTATGAACTTATTTTGGAGTGATATTTGTTATTCTCTAATTGAGCTGATCAGCTGGTCAGGAAATACACTCGACTAATATTATTGATTAAACTTTATTAACAATCAATCTTGGCATTTTTATATCAACCATTAAACAAACCATATAAATGGAATACGTTATAATGTTAAACGATTTGTGCCAAATAACTCCTATGACAAAGTCTGTTAATAACCATGTAGAAACAAAACACCTGACTAATATTGATTTGTTCTTGGTAATTAATATGTTTCATTAATCAACCGATTACTGTCGAAGTTGTGATCAGAGAAGAGAGAGATAAATATATTTTAACTGCGATATTTCTTAACTGCTACTCGGTAATCGCAGCAGGCTTCTAGACGTTATTAGTTCACATTTACAGAAAATCTATTTAAAACTCTTCATGAGAAAACTTATGCTCTGGCAGAAGATATTTGTTCAGTTTAAGTTCCCATATACTTAAGTGTGTGTGCAACAAACCGAATATTTGCATTAAAGACTTTGATTGTTTTATTAAGACAATGACTCCTCGATCTAAATTAGCAGTATCTCTATTCAAAATTCATTCAGCTGGCAGCCCTAAAATTTGTTCCCAACGTACTCTAATACGAAAGGTTGGAATTCTTCTATCATTTAACTAAATTAATAGAATCGTAAATAGAATCCATCGTAAATTAATAATTTTAAATACATTTTCTTAAACTAAACATTTTATAAAAATATAGAACACCTTTTATATACGTTAGACGAAGATTTGGTTGATAAATCGCTTATCCAAATTATATTTCTAACAATTAGCAGTTAGTTTAAAATAAGATTGAAGCCATTCCTTTCAGCTAAAACGTTGAGTTGCATACATTAAGCAACTCATTATGAAGTGAACACACTTATACGCACAGTTGCATTTGCAGACATAACGTGTGCATAAATATGCATTGGAACAACTCACACTAAAAGTCTAGAACCCATTCAAATTCCTTATGCATGCAGCATAACGTCCCAACCCCTTGCTGTGAGAGATGATGCTATGGCAGTCGTAATAGCAATACCCTTTTGTTATTAAGGCAACTGCAGCCACGTTGATTAGGTTAATGTCCTTAAGGTAAACCAACAGCAATAGTATAATTCTTTGTTCTAGCCCTACTACTTACTTATGTATACATAAGTATGGTGGAGTATTTACATATATACATATAAACAGTGCATGCAGCGTAGCCGAGAGGCAGACTTCTTGGTTACCTTTGATTTCATTATACTACAGTTTGTTCTTGTAGTGTGTAGCGAACACTAACCCACAGTTATGCACTCACACTTCGACTTATCTTTATTTCTATTTATGCAGCTGCATAACCATGGCTTTTGTGGTTAAAATGTGTTGCGCACCCCTCCCCCCAATCGTGTCCTGCATTCCGAAAAGGATTTTTGCACTTAAAACAGCATTTAAGTTGCCACAAATATGGTTCAAGATGAGTATCACAGCCGCAGTAAAAACAAATCCTTTTTCCATAGGTGTTGCATTTTTGATATATGTGCACGTCTGTGTGTATGAGTGTTTGTATTTGTTATTTCAGTATATTTTCATTAGGACATCTGCGTATTTCACGTTTAATGCGTACTCATTTGTATTGCAGGGGCTTATTTGCTGTAAAAGCCTTTTAATCGATTTTAAATGGTTGCAAAATTATTGTGTTAATTTGCATGCACATCCTGTACGCACATCCTGTGGAGTATGCACATGCAACCAATGGCGCCTAACAATGTGTGTGAGGTTGCATAATTAGGTGTTGATGATTGAAAATGAAATATGACCTGACAGACAATTAAACTTTATTTTATCATGAAATTAAAGCTTTAATTAGACGCACTCGAAATTAATTAATTAATTACATAAATAATTACTGATAGAATTTTGAAGATGTAAGTGATACGAGATGGAAAGCAAACATCATCATTTTATCAACATTTAAACTGAAATGTTTATAAAAATACAGAAAAAATACTTTAATTGTCTATAAATGCTATTTAAAACACTAAGTACATTTAAGTATTATTTGCGTGAAACCAAATCGTACCACTAAACCATTTTAACTTTTCAGAGGGGATAAACTTATTCAAGGTTCTTTAATGTTCAAGAGCAGAATCCTTTCAAATAAAGGATATAAAGGATCCACAAATAAAGTGTGTTGAATCATCGCTAGTGGTAAAAAAAACACATTTTGAAACTAAATAGCTTTCATCTCTTAAACTAACGAATTAATTAAGATCTGTCATTCAAACCCACATTAACATTAGTCTTAATTAAAAAGAATTAATTAGTTTTGCTACTTAAAAGAAATATTTTTGTGATCATAGTAATGATTGCTGGAATCACTTTTCATATATTTGCATATATATAGTATAGTTAGCATTTAACAAATATCACTTACAGAACTTCATTTAACTGCTAAAAAATATATTGATTTCTCAGAGTTCTTACTAAGTACTGCAATACTGCATTCTCACAGAATTCACAAACTCACAATGTCTGCGCATTTTAATTAGAACGATGTCAACATATTTACATAATTGAAGGCAGCTCATTGTAACTCCCACCACAACCACTCGCTACCAGCACCAAAAGTACGACCAGCACCGAAAGGCATACTTAAAATTGCTAATTAAAGTCATTTTACTAAACATATCCTGCAATCCTTCTGCACTACTTAGTACTTTAACTGCAGTTTTTGCTTAGCTTCCCCAGTTCGCTTTGACGTAAAAACGAAAAAGTTCTAAAGCAGTTTCAGGGTCAAATATTCCAACAAATCTCATATATAAATGTACTGCAATTGCTGTAACTAAACACAATTTTTTTTAATTATAATATTCTATATACATACGTTAAATATGACATATACTCCAAGCAACACTATTTGGTTGCCACCACACACAGTCCCATTTTAACCTTTTATTCCAAGTCTTTCAAGTCCTTTACTTGAAACTTTTTATATGATTATTTTGTCTGCATGTATGAGAAGTGCAAGGACATTGAGTTGTACTCTGGCTTACATTTACTAATTCTGCTACTTCAACTACTGCAACCAATTACCTGGCAGTTGAAGGCATCTGCTTCAGTTTCGACTGCAGGATTACTGTCACCACGTTTTTCCTATACTGCATTGAAATCTTTTTGTGCCTTTGTCGTTTGTAGAAGTAAAATACTTCATTGTATATGCACACAAACATCCATATATCGAAATCTGTCTTGTTAGGTTGGTTGGTGCTTTGTTGTTATCTCTTCACTCAGTGCTAACAGCGTAGGTATTTAAAGCTTCCGTTCGAGGCTCATTTCCGCTTGTACACAAACCTATCTGTCAACTTCCGTACGGTTTATGGCACTAAGCTTATGTGTGCATATATGTGCTTAACAAAAATTAATTGTCAACTCCGACATGATGAATTGTATTTAATGGACCCCGGCAATAAAAACCTTTATTACTCTATGCTTTACCGCTTCTGCGCCTGTCAACGCTTCACTTCGGAGTTAATTTGCACAGCAAATGAAACACAGGAAAATATATGAGTAGAGTTAATGAATTTAACATCAAATATTGTCAACTTACCACTCAAAAAAGAAAAAAGAATCATATTGTACAGAACATGATTGTGACAAAGATTTTTATACTAAAATAAACGGTGAGAAAACTCAATATTAGGTCATAAAACAGTCTTGATTTGTAAAAATATTTAAATTTATATATATAGCCTTTTATAATCCTCAAAGGTAGGGAAAAAATTTTCAAATCATCGTTTTTCGATTCCTTATACACGTATCCTGTAAAAAAACTTTCTAAGAAAATTTCAACCTTGAACTATTCCGAATATTGAAAAATAATCTGTTGATTCGTGGACTATCTACAATATTATTTAGATTTACATCTTTCGTTTTCTCCACCACTGTTGTTTATACGGTTAAAGAAATAGATTCATAGAAAATAATCATCTTTATCTTTCTTTATTACTATATAATCCGGAATAGAACAAAGCTTTATTCACAGTATACACTGTTATTGTGTACACTTATGAATGTCTTGACAAACATATACGCTTATACCAGAAATTTTTACTTCGTAAAGCGAAAAACATAGCTAGCTGCATTAGTACTCCATAAGATACTTGAGAAAAAGTTTCTATTCACTTCTTCATGTACTATATGAAAAAATAAAATTATTAGTAAAATAATTGATAGTATTAAGTTCTGAATCTTAGTCTTGCTACAGATCTTATCATCTTACACTCGTAGTGGGGTGACTAGGTACAATAGAATCCCTTACAAAGTTAACTAGAGTTACTGACTGATATTAACTCAAATAAGTCATTGATGATAATAGTAGAGTTAAAAATATTTATAGCAAATTTATGTTTTTGCATAGCTCTCATTCTTCTGGCACAATAGACCACCTGAGGTCTGGGATATAGCACTCCCAACTATTATTAATTACGCACCTCTTTTCTGTTTTTTTTGTATATTGCCGAAAATATTTGTGTAACATTCTTCCTTCATTTTTGAGAGTCTCTGCCAATGCCAAGATCTTTCTCTAAAGAGCATTTTAGGATTTGCCAGACGTTCAAGATATTTTTTAAACCTCTGAGTTTCTTATACGGTGACAGTATGGGTTAATAGGCCTAAGTGGATTCTTAGGTTCGCTGACATGATCTAACCTAATGTACTCAGCAGGATAGTATATAATATATACTTAGTACAATTAGAAATATAAATTATTAATAATATAAATCAATTATTATTAAATATCATAAGTAAATCATTCTATAAGTCCTAGAGTGGTAAAAGTGAAAAAAAATTAAATATTCTAATAAAATTCTAACAAAACTAATAATTAATAGTTTATAATGTTATTATTTTTAATTATTTCAGGCACCATCAGCACAAAACAGCAAAATATCAAACCGCAAAATTCAAATCATGTACACAAACCCGCCGATCCTGCTCCAACATGGCGGAGCCTATCAATACAGAGCACACCAGTGTTGAACAACAGCAAAGAAAAATCTTTCTTACGAACAACAGATGACAATATCTTATCACAAGCTGCAAAGCTTAAGAAATCCAACACTAACGTCTTCAAACAGCAGCAAGAACTCAATGTGTTTACACAAAAATGTGCCAAAAATTGTTTAGAAACAAATAAATCTGCTCAGCTCTCACTCTCACCTGCAGCCAACCCTATCTCAACTGTACATTCCGATCAAATCCAACATTCTGCAAATAAATACAGCAAACCATTTCAATTGCCTTTGATGACTGCGGAAAGTGCACAGTCGCAAAAGTCAAAAAGTCCTGCCAAATCAAAAGCTAAGAAGATTGTTAATAGTAGAAAAGTGCTAACAGAACATGCCAAAGTGCATATAGCGCATCGTAGCCTACACAAAGAAGTACAACTCCATAGACAACCACACGAGCATCACAAAATTCACAATAAACCGCATAGCACTATTGTGAATACACGTATTAGGCGCGCTACAGAACGTTTGCATGCACTGAACACTCTCGACGCTAACAATGACAGTGTAAGCAATGAAGAGTTCACTGTGTCTGAGACAACTAAAAAACCAGTCTCGGCTTACAATACTGCACTGTTGGAGCAGATCAGCTTTACATCACCCTCTCATTTTCTTCAGAAACAGCAATATACCACTACTTACTATAATGAGAGTATTTCTCAATTGAGCTCACATGATGGTGTCCATCTGCTTGCGTTTGCACAACGTCCTTTTAGCGTTTTGGCACCTAAAACTAAACGCTCAAGGTCCACAGTCACTATGCCAGTGGAAAAAATACACAAGGTTAGCGAACCAATGATTATTATTGATGATGGAGAGGAATTTGATAGTGGCAATGATCATGAGCTGGCAGCTGTGGCCAATGCTGATGATAAAAGCGAAGATTACTCACATGACGAACCTTTGGAACCACGCGTTCTTCCTCTTCGTCCGGTACCACCTAATCCATATGAGGATGAAGAAATGTCCGTTGTTTATGCTGAACAGCATTCCGAAATACGTTTAATGTGCGAAGTGGACCTGGATATTGCAGCCAGTATGTGGTATAAGAATGGACAGGTAAGTTTTAAGAATATTGAAAGCAAAAGAATGTATTTTACGCAAATAGATATACTTAGGTATGATTTCTATTAAAAAAGTTTTTAAATTTTTATAAAACATATTTACTTCTTTGATATCCGATCACTGTTATAAGGATAATGGATTCATATTAAAAAATATAAGATAAAAGATGAATAAATGTGGGGTGATATATAGATTACTGTTATTAAAACTCGTCTATAATGTGGAATTCTATACTCGCTATATGTAATACATAAAGCTATGACACACATTTGTAATATGGAATGGAAGTTCCCATAGTTCCCATAGCGATTTTTTGTGAATAAGTCTTTATATATTGTTTAATGAATTGAGATTATGCTACTGTCCAAGAAATATATAAATATATGCAAATCACCTTAAAAGAATTTGACGCGAAAAAATTCAGAGAGTTTTAACTGGAAACATTATGTTTTTTAGAGACTACTTGTGTATCATAATCCCGAGGTATTATTTAAATAATGTGAATATTTCTCAACAAAAGCACTTACTACATAAAATGCTTACGCAGAAGAAAGTATCGCCGTGTCCTTGTATCATACCTAAAATGCCAGTTATCTTATTATACGCATTTCAAGTCACTTTAAATGGATTTGATGAAGGAAATTTGTCTGCTTCCGCTCATTCACGAGGACAATATTATTCCTCTTTGAGCAGCCTCAGCTCAACGGTTCTGGCATCCTAGAATATTTATAATTTTATTTGTTTTTAAATGCAAATAGTCGAGGAGCTCACGTCGCACACTCGGACGCATTTCATTCTGACTTTAATTGCATTCCAGATATTAAATATATACCCTGTCGGGCTGCCTTCATCCTCCTCTTTATGTTATTTTTTTCTCATTTTCGTTTATTTTTATTTATTTTGTGTTGCATTTATACACTTTGC